CGCTCTGATGAGAGCGCCGCGAAGCAACACTTTTTGAATGCACCAGCACACCCATTTATTGCTCAAATACTCAATTTATCGTATTTTTCAGGATACGACATCCAATTTAACGATGACTACACGGAAGAAGGTCTCTGAAGCGACGTCACATATTCGAGTGGCTGTGAGGATCAGGAAAATTCTTTGAAACAGTTTGGAAACTTCAAAATTCAATTTTCCAGACCACTCAATGGAGCCGAGCGGAGCGACAAGTGCACGAGCATCGCGAGAAGCGACAAGATCAAGAACACTGTCGAACTCAAGGCAAAGCCGTTTGGACCTTTTTCTCGAGTGTTTGACACGGATACGACGCAAGCCGAGATCTACGCCGACTTGGTGTCTCCTCAAATCAAGAAAGTGATCGCTGGATTCAACTGCACAGTTTTCGCGTAAGATTTTTTCAGAATTCAACCAGTAATATCCATTCTTTCAGTTACGGACAAACTGGAACGGGAAAGACGTTCACGATGGAAGGAGGGCGTACGGATGCCAAGAGCTCACAAGACGATCCGACCACTGGGATTATTCCACGAGCTGTTGAGGACATTTTCGAAAAGTTGGAATCATCAAAATGTGAGGAATACTCGTTGCGAGTCAGCTACGTGGAATTGTACAACGAAGAGCTCTTGGATCTTCTGGCATCTTCGGACGACGAAGACCGTGAACGTCTTCGCATTTTTGACGATCCCCATAAAAAGGGAGTGATTGTGTCGGGAGTCGAAGAAGTGCCGGTCAGAAGTCGTTCAGACGTCTTCAAATTGCTGAAAACTGGAGCCGAGAAGCGGAAGACGGCAGCCACACTAATGAACATGAACAGCAGCAGATCTCACAGTCTGTTCATGGTCAATGTGGTTGTAAGAGAAAACACGAACACTGGAGAGGAGTTGGTGAAGCAAGGAAAGCTGAACCTCGTCGATTTGGCTGGATCTGAAAACATCGGACGATCAGGAGCTCAAGGGAATCGTGCCAAGGAAGCTGGATCGATCAATCAGTCACTTTTGACACTTGGAAGAGTCATCCGATCGCTCACCACCAATGCTCAACACGTCCCATACAGAGAGTCGAAGCTCACAAGACTTCTACAGGACAGTTTGGGAGGATCCACCATCACTTCACTCATCGCAACTCTCTCACCATCGAGCTCAAATTTTGAGGAGAGTCAGAGCACACTGGAGTACGCCATGAGAGCAGCGAACATCAAGAATAAGCCAGTGTGCAATACGAAGGTGTCAAAGAAGACGATTCTCAAAGAGTACTCGGATGAGATTGAGAAGTTGCGTCGGGACTTGAGAGCGGCTCGCGAGAAGAACGGAGTCATCATCAGTGAAGAATCGCACGAGGAATTCCAACGCAACACTGAAAAGGTGAATGAGCTCGAACAGAAGTTGGATAGCGCAGTGGACAGACTTCGACGATACACAGAGGATCTGTTGTACATGGATGATCAGTACAAGCAGCTGTATGAGCGGAAGGGAGAGCTGGAGAGCCGTCTAAGAGAAAGTCATCGCGAGTATGCTGAGAAAGTGGTGGAGCTCGCGGAAACGAACGACGTTCTCAATAAGAACATTGAAGCGATCGGAGTGATGCACACCAACGCGTTGAAGTCATTTGATCAGCTATTGCAATCTCGAGAAGCTGCCGATGAGTTGACGACCGACATTGCGGCGTTTTGGAGAAAAGTGGACGACATGGGAGCTGCTGACGATCGGAATAAGGATATTTTCGAAGCATTCAGGCGGAAGGTGAGTTTTTGAAGAAGCTTGTTGGTAATTTGGAAAACTAAAGCTTCTATCATTCCAGATGACCTCCTTCATCGAAAAGACTTCACTCCAAGCAGAAGCGTTCGCCAATGATGGGAGAATGGCATCAGAAGAGTTCGTGCATGAAGTGACGCCACATGTGAAGACGTTTGGATCTGTTGCGGACAGCATCGACCAAAGTTCTAAGGAAATCCAGACATCACTCATGAATGTATTCCAACAGACTACCGAGATCGAGGAGAATGCGGCCAACACCATCAATTCGCTGTCTAACGACAATCGTGAGCAATGGGATGCTGTTCTGAAGACGTGCGTTGAGTACTACAAGGCTCACGCAACGAGATCAGAGGAATTGAGTAAGCAGCTGACGGAGAAGCTTGCAGAGATCAAACGACAAGTCGCTGCATTTGCCAATGATGTGAGACCGTTGCTCACTGAAATTCGGAACACCACTTCGGATAGCTTCGAGAAGAGAGTTCAGCAGAGCGACGAAAACGTCGCTGAAGTCAAGAAGACGTGCTCGGGGATGGCGGAGACTCTGAAGATGTTGATGCAGCAAGTGGAACAGTTGTCAGTGAAAGCAGAGGAGAATCATGAGAGGTAAGTTGTAACAATTAGAAAATCTCATTCGAAGTTCCCCGGTTTTCAGACAACTCATTGGTGATCAGAACACTCAAGAATCCATTCTCTCGACAATCAACGCTGCTGAAAATGTCATCCAATCGGTTGAAGACGTCATCGAGGAGTGTTGCGATGTCAAGGAAGTTGAAGACAGTGCACGTGGGGATCTCGATGATATCGATATGGATATGGAGAACGCGGTTAAGGAGGCAAGAGAAAGAGCTGTGGAGAAGGACCGAGAGGTGAAGAAGGTGACAAGCACGCTTCTGGAGAAGGCCAATGCGATTCGTGAGGAGACGACTGCTCAAGTTGAGGCTGCACTTGGCAGATACTCGACAACGAGTGAAACATGCCGAACGACTGGCGAAAGCCTCCAGACGAAGGTCCAGGAGTCGTTAGAAAGAACGGTAAGTTAAAAGAAGTTTTGGGGATGTGCACGGGGAATTGAACTGACACCGTTTGCGAAAGAACTGTCATGTGTAGCGGTATTTCCCAGCTAAAAATATGTAAATGCGCTCTATCAAACTGTATACACTTAAAAATGATAATTTCCAGATGTCACTCTTCACAATGTTCGCTGAAGCCACGCACATCGTCACTGAAGAGGCCACCGGAGCCATCAATGCAGTCAAAATGACATTCGTCGACCCATCGAACAATGTACCGCCGAGAATCATTCCCGAGTACCCAGCCAGTGAGAAGCTCGTGAAACCCGTGGAGCCGGAGACATTGCTCGGAATGGAGGAGGACGCTGAGGACGGAAGCGACGGAGAGCTCGCGAAAAAGAAGCGTCGTGTGACGGCGTTCGTGAGAAGGGACAGCCTCCTGGACTCGACGAACTTCTTCCCAAGTCCAAACGCGATTCAGAAGCGGAGAGAAGCGCCGATCGATGAGGAGGAAGACACTGAAAACTAAATTGTTTTATTTTTCGCTTCATTTATTATCGCTTTCATGTACAATAATTTTTTTCCTTTTTTTTCGATCTGCTAGCTGGTAATGATAACTAGTGATCTTTTTTCATGATTTTTTATTCACTTTTAAACGCACAATACATTTTATTTAATTTTAAGCTGTATTTTTAGTTGTTAAAAAATCTTTTTTTTTGTTATCGCAGAAATAGGGCAACAGCTGCGATGTTCCATTGATCGGCACCACGACACGGCATGTTGACAGCGGTGATCAAGTCGGAACGCTCACTGGAATTGTACAGCGGCACCTGGATTTGCTCGCCAGTGATCGTCGAAGAGCTGTCAGAAGTCCATGCCAAGTAGAGGATCGGCGCCTGTACGTAGGCAGCACTGGATACGGTAGTCTCACGGAGGAACGAATCGAAAGTGGCACCTTGGAGTAGAAGACCCTGCACCTGGACACACTGTTTCGGTGGAAGTTGGGATGGTGTCCAGGCGGAAGAGAGAATCAGTTGATCCAACGGAATTTGGAGTTGTCGAGACGTGGTTTGTCTCAATGCATTCAAGAAGATGTTCGGATAGAAGAGATCCGAAAAATCGATGGGAGAGGAGAGGATCGACGAGGATTTGGAGGCTTCGTAGAGCTGCAAAAAAATCAAAATTTCAAAAAATTCAAAAAAAATCTGAAATTTTAAAAGTTCAAAAAAATCTGAAAAATTTTAAAAAATTCGAAATTTTTGAAAGTCGGAAAATAGCAAAAAATTCAAAATTTTCGAAATTTTGAAAAAAATAATTTTCGAGGCAAAAAATATTTTTCGAATCTTGTCAAAAAAAAATCTAAAAAAAGTTCTTAAAATCACAATTTTTTTCAATTTTTTTGAGTTTAAAATTTTCAAATTTGGAGCCAAAAATTCAAATTTTCAAAGAAATATTTTTTTTTTTGAAAAAAGCCCTTTTTTTAATATAAAAAAATCGATTTTAATTCGAAAAATTCAAATTTTCGAGCCGAAAAACCGGAAAATCCAATTTTGATCCTAAAATCGAAATTTCAAAATTTCCAAAAAAATTGTTTTTTTGAATTTGAAAAATTTGTCTGAAAATCAAAAATTAAAAGACTTGAAAAAAATTTTTTCAATTTTTTTTGAGTTTTTAAATTTTCAAATTTTTGAGCCAAAAATTAATTTTTCTTATTTTTTTCAAATTTTCAAAAATTCAAAATTTCCCCTAGAAAATCCCAAAACCCCCCACCTGCATCGTTCCCCGCGTCTTCTTCACCACCGCGTTCAAAAAATCCGCGGGGTCCGTTGGCCCCGCCCACAATCGATCCCATTCATCAGGTGTCTGTTGAAAGATCAACGATTGGATCGTCTTCTGAGTGACTCCAGATGCCAACGATGGATTCTTCATGGATTTGGCGACGTCTCCAATGCTTTTATGGAGGTTTCTGATCAAAATCAGTGCGTTTATCGTCTCCAAACACAAGACCTCATTGATTGGATCCGACGATTTTGATGTATTTTTTGGCAGCTCTTTTTTTGGGAGATCATCCGATTGACACAATTTTCTCCATAGCGAAATTATTTGGGATATCGATTCGGAGGTGTTATTCGAAGAGAGCGCATTTTTCGAGTCGCCCAGTGCTGAAAAGATTTAGTGGGCGTGGCCTAGAAATCCAAAATTCTGGTTTAGAATTTTAGAATTGTGTTTCTAGGCCATGCGATTCGAAATTTGAAAATCTAGGGCACGTTTTTTTGATCGATGGCCTAGGAACCCAAAATATTGGTTTCCTAGGGCACTACCTCCAACATTTGGGTTTCTATCTCCAAAATTGAGATTTGGTGGCCTAGAAGACTTATATTATGACCTAGAAAACCAAATTTGAAGATGGTGGCCCAGAAATCGAAAAATAGGAAATGGTGGCCTAGGAATCCCAGATTTTAACATGGTGGCCTAGAAATCCAGAATTCTGGTTCAGAATTTTTGAATTGTGTTTCTAGGTCATTCGATTCGAAATTTGGAATTCTAGGACACGGTTTTTGATCGATGACCTAGAATTCTGGAAAGCTGAGATTTGGTGGCCTAGAAATCTTATATTATTAGGTTGGCGGGAAAGTCTTTGTCACTCTGTTTGTTTAATCACTGTTCTCGTATATGGAGGCTGTGTATGATATCGACTTTAGTGAATAACAAGGTGATAAGAACCTTCCATATAAACAAGTCCCCATCTCCTTCCCTGCTCCTCATCTGTAATTGAAACGATATGTTTGTTCCCACTGCTATTCACATCAGACATGTTTTGATTTACCTCTTCCTATCTCACACCACGATGAAGGATTCGGAAACTTTCTTGAAGAATGTGTACAACACACATGCCCCTCACTACAATACTATTCGCAATTGGTTCCATCGTTTCGAAAAAGATGACTTCTCGCTCGATGAAAAGGATCGCTCTGGGAGACCCCGTGAGTTGGATTTGGACAAGCTGAAGCACGCATTGCAATCGGATCCATTTCAATCTAGCCGTGAACTAGCTGTCACATTCGGAGTTCACCATAGCACAGTCCTTGAAGGTTTGAAGTCTCTTGGAATGAGAAAACTTTTTGGTCGATTCATACCTCATCACCTGACTCAAGCCAACCTTGACCGCCGAGTCGACGATTCGATTACTCTTCTCACTCTCCACGCGGGCGATCGATGGCTGGACCGGCTAATAACCGGAGATGAGAAGTGGGTCTTCTACGATAATCACCACAGGAAATCCCAGTGGGTTGGAGAAGGAGAGAGCCCACAGGATGTCCCCAAACCCGACCTTCATCCGAAAAAAGTTATGCTCTCTGTGTGGTGGGGAGTGGACGGCCCCATCTACTGGGAACTTCTGCCCGAGGGCAAAACAATAACTGGAGACCTCTACACTACTCAACTACGAAACCTCAAGAAAGCAGTCGACCGTTCGGCCCTGAAAGACAAGAAAGTGTACTATCAACATGATAACGCTCGCCCACATGTTTCGAAACAAGTGAAGCAGGAGCTGATGGGATATGGATGGAATGTTCTCCCTCACCCCCCGTATTCTCCTGATCTTGCTCCTTCCGACTATTGGTTATTTGGCGATATGACACGTGCCTTCGAAGGAAGAAGCTTCAATTCCCGTGGAGCGGTCGAAGCGGCACTCAAACAATACTTTGCCTCACGCCCGGCTGGATTCTACCGCAATGGAATCCATAAATTGAGGGAACGTTGGAGACATGTTGTTGATAATGATGGACAATATAATTAATTATTCGGTTATTTTTTCTTTGAGAAATAAACTATTGAAAAAGTGACAAAGACTTTCCCGCCAACCTAATATAAAATGGGGCCTAGAAACCCAAATTAGGATATGGTGGCCTAAAAACCCGAACTATGGAAATAGCGGCATAGAATGCAACTTTGCATGGTTCTAGGCCACTACCAAACTCGGGTTTCTAGGCCAGCATCTCCCAAGTTTGGGTTTCTAGGCCACTATTTCCTAGTTTTGGATTTCTAGTCCAAAAGGTTCAAATTTGGGTTTCTAGGCCATTTATGGATACTCTACATCAAGAAACTTTAAACTTGGGTTTCTAGGCCACGTGTAATAGTTTTGGGATTGGTGGCCTAGAGATTTTCTAGGCCACCATATTGATTTTCAAACGAACCTAGTGTTCGTATCGATGAAATCGTTCGATCGGCTTCTACGATTTGCCATGAATATTTGATATTTTCGGGAAGACCAAAGAGGAATGGTTCGTCGACGGATGGGACCGTCTTTGAGATGTGCGAGATGTATTCCTGAAGAAATTTGAATTTTTTATTGAGAAAGTGCGCTCTATTGACAATTAACGCGCTCCATTCGTTGTTTGTTCGGTGGAGCGCGGTTGAGCGGTGCGGCAAAATTTTCATCGATTTTTTCTCGACAGAAAAAAGAATGAAAGCGCGCTCCGTGGATAATTTTTTGAATAATTTTCAAAAAATTTAGCATGTGCGCTCCATTGAGATCGTACCTGAACATTAGTACTCGCTGGAATATCGATTCCTTTCACCAATTGCTGGCCAGTGCGCCCATTAATTTTGTCATCGGAAAACAAAATATTTAAATAGGATTCGAGAACTTTCGCATCGAAATCATTCTCGATTCGACCGCCGTAGATCACGAACTTCAGAATTCCACGGACGAATTCCCAATCGGATTCTGGAAGAGAAAATGGGGTTTTAGTGAAAAGTTAGGCCATGAGAATTTTGAATTTTGAAAAAAAATTTTTGAGGTAATTTCAAAATATCGTGAAACCTGTAATAGAAGGGCCCCCACATTGTCAAGTTTGAGCTTAATTATCTCGGCTCCTTTAAAAGATATCGAGAATTTGTCAACTGATAAAATGTTTGTGATATTGTGATAAACAATTTATCAGTTGACAACTTTTTT